ATAGTCATATTGTATTAAACGAATCTAGTTGACAGTGTTTAAAAAGACCTTAGTTGTCGACACACCTCAACACATGACCACAACAACGACACCGACACAGGTATTTTTAACAAATAATTTTACAACCTGTTCTACCTTATGGTCGAGGCGTGTACAGAAAATGGGAGATATAGTTTTCTCCGTTCCATCTGTTGTCCAGTAGTACTTTGAGACAAGAGTATCGAGTCTCTTATGAACCAATTTACAACAATGTTCACAAGGGTTCAGATTCTCAGAGGTTCAGGCGATAAATATTTCTCATAACAGATGTAAGAATGTCGCTAATGATTGACTTAACTAAAACAACATCCAAAATATAAGGTGTCCACGTTAAATAAACCACTGAAGCCTTGTTGAATAATGCCAGCTGAAGAAATTCACAGTTATTATGCTTGAAGTTTAATTTGGTGTCTGGCATATCACTAAGGTCCATATCAAGTACGGTACATATCACTGAGTGCAAACATATCACTAGGGTACGGTACATATCACTAGGGTACGGTATATATTCACTAGGTACGTATTATATCACTAGGTACGGAACATATCACTAGGGTACAGTTACATATCACTAGGATTACAGTGTTGTCATATCACTAAATTGCAGAACATATATCACCCAAAATTTGGAAACATATCACTAGGGTACAGAACATATCACCTAGGTACAGTACATATCACTAAGGTAGTACATATCACTAGGGTTGGTACACATATCACTGGTGCGGTACAGTATCCACTAGGGTACGGTGCATATCACTAGTACTTACATGCTTAAGGTGGAACATATCACTAGTGCAGGCATCACTAGTACGGTACATATCACTAAAGTACCATTTTATATCTAGGTGCAGTACACATATCACTAAGGTGCAGTACATATCACTAGGTGCAGGTTATATATCACTGGTACAGTGCATATCACTAGGGTACAGTACATATCACTAAGTACAGTACATACATCACTAAAGTACATTTTACTTATATCACTAAAAGTACAATACATATCACTAGGGTCACGGTACATATCACTAGGGTACAGTACATATCACTAGTACGGTACATATCACTAAGTACTTTAATCATGCAATTATGCTGGTACATATCATCCTGGTACAGTTTCATATCACTAAGTTGCAGTACATATCACCTGGTATAATGTGTATATCACTGGTGCAGTAGCATATCATAGGGTACAATTATATCACTAGGGTGCAGGACATTATCACTAGGGTCGGTACATATCACTGTACGGTACATATCACTAAGTACAGTACACTGCTCACTAGAAGTGGGCAATATCACTAGGACGGTACATATCACTAAGGTACGGTACTATCACCATTGTTTATATCCCAAAGGTTGTAGTTACATATCACTAGTACGGGAACATATTCACAAATGCATTATATCACTAGGGTACGGTACATATCACTTAAAGTTGTCATATCACCAAAGTCAGTGCATATCCCCTGTTACAGTACATATCACTAGGGTACGGTACATATCACTGGGGTACGGTACATATCACTAGGGTACGGTGCATATCACTAGGGTACGGTACATATCACTAGGTACGGGCATATCACTAGGGTAGAACATATCACTGGTGCAGTACATATCACTAGGGTACGGCTTATATCACTAGGTACAGTACATATCACTAAGGTGCAGAAACATATCACAGTACAGAACATATCACTGGGTACGGCTGTAATTGGGTACATATCTCCTAGGGTACGGTACATATCACTAGGCTAATTTTTTATCACTAGGGACGGTACATATCACTAGGTACGGTACATATCACACTAGGGGTACGGTACATATCACTAGGTACGGTACATATCACTAGGGTGATTGCATATCACTAGGGTGCAGTGCATATCACTAGGGTACAGGCACTTATCACTAATTTTGCGTACCATATTGAAACATATCACTGAGGCAGTATATCACTGGGTACGGTACATATCTGAAGTACGGAACATATCACATGGTAGGCATATATCTAGGGCGGTACATATCACTAGAGTGCGGTACATATCACTGGTACAGTGCATATCACTATACGGAACATATCTCACTAAGTACAGTTACATATCACTAGGTACGGAACATATCACTAGGGTGCAGTTGCATATCACTAGGATACAGTTTACATATCACTAGGGGTACGGTACATATCACTAGGGTGCAGTACATATCACTATGTGCAGTACATATCACTAGAATTGAGTACATATCACTAAAGTTACAGTGCATATAACTTGTGTACATTACGGAAACTTTATATCACTGGTACAGTACATATCATTTGGGTACCATATCACTCTTTAAGTACAGTACTGTCACTGAGCCAGTACATATCACTAGGGTACGGTACATATCACTAGGGTACGGTGCATATCACTAGGGTACGGTACATATCACTAGGGTACGGTACATATCACTAGGGTACGGTACATATCACTAGGGTACGGTGCATATCACTAGGGTACGGAACATATCACTAGGGTACGGTACATATCACTAGGGTACGGTACGGTAGACCTTCAACAGGCCGTCCGTAGCACAGACTAAATCACAACGGTACTCAATTCACTCCACTCATCTCGAGGGGTTACGGAGTACATTTTGGACTTTTAACCCCAAAGAAAAATCGAGAGGGTAAGTTGAGGCGATCTCGGTGTCCAGTCTCCTCAAAATGCTTCATCCATGAGTACAAGTCTCTTCGGGTTAGTTGTTCCTTGCCAAACGTTGTACAGAATCGTCGTTACACCAGGGTAGGTGATTTCAGTACGGCCATCCATAACACACACTTCGCCTTTTATTGTGAGGTTATTATAATTCAAACTGAACCACCAAAACGCAGAAGAAAATAACAACTTTAATAGATGGTGGTGTGGTAACTGTGCAAGTTTCAACATCCTCACATATATGCGTAAAAATTTATGTCATCGATGGTTGCTTCATCTCAATGTAGACAGTGGTCACGAGGACACACTGTTGTTCCTATATCATAACCTCCATCCGTTCACACCGTCCTGTTTCATATATCATAAGTCTTTGACAACCTGGGGGTCGCTTGGGTGAGTAGACGGAACAGGTACTTGTGTTTGATCTCTCCCTGTTATGTGTTGAAGAACAGTTAATCTATTAAGCACATTTTTATATCTTGGGACACGAGTAACATTATTTGTACGATCCTTTGAAAGTCTTGCCCTGAGGTGTCATAGAGTGCTGTCAGTTAAAGCCTAAAACTCTTCTATATTTTGTGTCATGGTTGTGTCGTTAAGTAAAGTTCATAATTTTTAATTGGCAACACAAAATTATTTTCAGGAAGTAACAGTAACGCCTGAAGTAACAGTAACACGAAGTAACAGTAACACGAAGTAACAGTAAAACGATAATAACAGTAACACTTGAAGTAACAGTAACACTTAAAATAACAGTAACATGAAGTAACAATAACACTTGAAGTAACAGTAACACTTTAAGTAACAGTACCACTTGAAGTAACAGTAACACATGAAGCAACAGTAACACATGAAGTAACAGTAACACATGAAGTAACAGTAACACCGAGGTCTCTTCCATCCCAATTACTTCACTACAGTACTCTTGTCTCGTATTGTTCCCGCCATTTTTAAAGTAGTGTGAATATTTTATCAATATTTAAATTATTCCTCCTAAATTTAAATAAATATTTTTACAATAAGAATAGGTAGAAAAATCACTAATAGACCTTTTGAGTTGAAATCTAGAAGGTTCCCTGATATACTGTAGGTGTTGGCTGTACTCTCGTCCCAAAGGGGTTTTCAGGTTTGACTCTATACTGTATTTTGAAGTGGTGTCTAGCTGCCATTTCTACTTGTTACCGGCCTGTAAAAGTGTTCCTCTGGGCTGACAGCGGAGCGTTTTGACATCATCCTGTAGATCCACTCTAATCTTTGTTATTAAGGTAATTTACCCATAATATACGGGCATGAATCATTAATCTACCACAAACATTCCAATATCACGACTAACAACACACTTTGAGACGCAGTACAATGTTTGCCACCTTTCTTAGTCTGTCTCTAACCTTCCAGTCTTTGGTGTGTCCGAAGTATCACCCAGGATATTGAGTTTTGTACACCCCAAACTACTTTACTTCACCTATTGGCTGAAAACAATATCCTGGCTGGTGTCAAAACATTCTGTTGCCGACCCACACGGACACTTTTACAGGCTGGCAACAAGCAGACGTGGACAGTAGACATTTCAGACATGAATGAACCAAAACATTGTAGGGCGAGAGTGCAGGTAACCCAAGGCTTGTAAAGGACATTGTTTAATTATCTTATTCTCTAGCCAGTGTTAATAGCGTGGTGAAGGCTTATAGTGTTACCATGGTGAAGGCTTATAGTGTTACCATGGTAAAGGGTTATAGTGTTACCATGGTGAAGGCTTATAGTGTTACCATGGTGAAGGCTTATAGTGTTACCATGGTGAAGGCTTATAGTGTTACCATGGTGAAGGCTTACAGTGTTACCATGGTGAAGGCTTATAGTGTTACCATGGTGAAGGCTTATAGTGTTACCATGGTGAAGGCTTATAGTGTTACCATGGTGAAGGCTTATAGTGTTACCATGGTGAAGGCTTATAGTGTTACCATGGTGAAGGCTTATAGTGTTACCATGGTGAAGGCTTATAGTGTTACCATGGTGAAGGCTTATAGTGTTACCATGGTGAAGGCTTATAGTGTTACCATGGTGAAGGTTTATAGTGTTACCATGGTGAAGGGTTATGGTGTTACCATGGTGAGGGCTTATAGAGTTACCATGGTGAAATGTTATAGTGTTACCATGGTGAAGGCTTATAGTGTTACCATGGTGAAGGCTTATAGTGTTACCATGGTGAAGGGTTATGGTGGTAGGATGGTGGGGAGTATAGTGTTGACGGGATAGTGTGGGCAGCAGGTCGCCCAGTAGCCCGGCCCGAGGCTGTGTGGACCGTCGCAGTCAGAGCCTGGCGGGCCACTACAGCAGCAGACGTCTGGCCCACAACGGCAGGGCTAACAAGGTGGCCATGTTGCGGCCCGCCCTCAGCCTGGAGGCGCCCATCCCCACCATACAGCCTCTCCCTAGAGTCTTCCTTGACCTGAGCATCGAGGGCATACAGGTGAGTGTAACATACAATCCACACACACACACACACACACACACACTTAAATAAATCTTAGCTACACACAAAATACAACTTCATTTGGTCAAACTTTACCCGAATCGTTATCTTATCTCCCTTACTTATGTTATATATGTTGAATGTTGTGATTATTATGTTGATTATTGGTTCAGAACTGCAGAGCGTTGAAGGAAAAGTCGAGTTTTATCCCAGATTTAACACACAATAATCTATCCTTGCTTAACGTAACCTGATGAAAACCTCACCCAACCCAAGATGGATCAACCTAACCCAAACCTTTATAAAGACTAAACTACCCTAACTTAAAAGTTTGGTCAACATTACAGTACTATTTTGGTGGCAGGAAACTGTGTGCTGTACCTTCACAAACACTTAACATACGTTCAATATATTTTGAAGTAATTAAACCTTCATTTTCATGTACGTTATGACTCCCTTACCTCCGCAGCAAACAGCACGGGTGGTTATTGAGCTGAGGCCAGACATGGCACCCAAGCTATGTGAGAACTTCACTCTGCTGTGTACGGGGTCCAGGGGGTTCGGATACCGCGGCAGTCAGGTGTTCCGGTGTCTCCCTGGCTGGTGGCTCCAGGGAGGAGATTTCCAATCCAACGACGGAGAGGGCGGGCGTGCTGCCCTGGGTGATGACGAGCTCATCAGCGCTGAGACCACAGGTATTGTAGCACCCACAGGTAAACTAGCCCGACTACGACCCAAATTGTATAATCTATGTGTCCAGTTGAGTTGTTCCTCGGTCGTCAGTCAGGCAGGACACACACACCAGCTACCCCAGACTCAATCCACATGCATGCGGCAGAGGACGAGCACACTGTAACCTGAACCTCCTGTAACCTCCCCGCTCTCCACCAGTACTGTTATACACCCAGATCACAGTTGAGAGAGAGAGACCCTGTAGGTGACGGAGGAAGGAGAAGCTGGGGAGAAGAAGAGAGATATGGGGAGACGTTGGTGGGGGTAGTAAGAAAGGAAGATAACGATGTAGAAGTTTGAACAAGCCAGCTGCTTATACAAGTTAGTTGATCACCACAGCACTCAACACTTACAGAATACAAGCTTAAGTTATTCAGTCATGGCATTAGCTTATGGTCAGATAAACAATATACTAAGTCACCATGCTAGTAAGTCACCAAGATGGTAAGTCACCAAGATACTAAGTCACCATGCTAGTAAGTCACCAAGATAGTAAGTCACCAAGATAGTAAGTCACCAAGATAGTAAGTCACCAAGATAGTAAGTCACCAAGATAGTAAGTCACCAAGATAGTAAGTCACCAAGATAGTAAGTCACCATGCTAGTAAGTCACCATGCTAGTAAGTCACCAAGATAGTAAGTCACCAAGATAGTAAGTCACCAAGATAGTAAGTCACCATGCTAGTAAGTCACCAAGATAGTAAGTCACCAAGATAGTAAGTCACCAAGATAGTAAGTCACCAAGATAGTAAGTCACCAAGATAGTAAGTCACCAAGATAGTAAGTCACCATGCTAAGTTTAGTTTAGTTTAGTTTAGTTCAACGACTCACTAGATTTTAATTTACTGGAGACAGACAGAGAGACAGACAGAGAGACAGACAGAGAGACAGACAGAGAGACAGACAGACAGCACGGGGGAGGTAAGAGGACACAGCCTTAACAATAATGCTCAAGAATCTCTCAAATGGTGAAAATCAGAGCACCGCCCACATATGGCATAACCTCCCACATACAACATATAACTCCTCCCACATATAACATAACTCTTCCCACGATAACATAACTCTCCCACATATATAACCTCCCACACATGGCATAACTCCTCCCACATACAAATATAACTCCTCCCACATATAACATAACTCCTCCCACGTATAACATAACTCCTCCCACATATGGCATAACTCCTCCCATGGCATGCAACTCCTCCCATATAACATAACCTCCTCATATCATGACTAGACCAATCATACGTTGGTAGTTTACTGT